TTCCCCTTTTCCCCTTTTATTTTATTTAAAGGGATATACATGCTCTCCGCCAATCCCTAGGTTAAACCCTTTCCCCCCTTTAAACATTTTATTACACAAAAAAAAAATACCAACCACTCCAACACTATTTCCCCCCCCGGGTTTTAAAAATTTTTGTCATGATCCCCTCAGTTCCAGCTGCTTTACCCCCCTTTCATTCTACGTAATGCCTCACGTACCTCCACCACACTTTCCTTTTTGTCTTCTTACTCCTAAAAGAAGGTATTACCTCCCTGGCCCGTGCTGAAAAATTTTTGCCTCCCTTTCTTCCTCAAATTTAAAATTACTCAAAAAAAATTCTCGCCCTTTTACCCCAATTTCCTTTCCCTTTTCCCCCCTTATAAGTCCCCTTCTCTGTTTTTTAAATGCCAAACCATACTTTTCCCCAGGGTTTCTTAACCTTTTTTTAACTCACTCCCTCAAATTTTTTTTATTTTATTAAAAATTTCTTTTACATGGGGTTCTCCACTCTTTTTAATTTTGCTCTCCTTTTGCACCTTTTCCACCACTCTCTTCCCCCTTTCCCTTTTTCTCTCATTTTACTCTTTCTTTCTTATAAACTTCTGCCTTTTTAAAAAACCCGTAAACACCTTTTTTTCTTTTATCAACCCTTTTTCTTCATCCTTTCCACCAATCATTCCCCTTATTTTGTATATATTACTCTGATAATTATACTTATGTATACCTATACCTAAATAAACTTATGCAGTGCTGGCATGCAGTACACGATTAAAATCACAAGTGTCATGTCTCAAGACGCAATTAGTAAGAAATATATAATCACGGAGTCTCACTAAATGTCATATATTACGTTAATATACATATTTTCATTAATCCATCTATGATATTTTTTCAAAATTATATAATGAACACATGCATAACAAATAAAGATGATAAATACACCCCACAGTAGAATAAATAAACAAATATGAGATGTGGTAGCAGACATTTGCACAAGTGCAGCCATAGTTAAAATGATAAAAAACATCAATAATCACCGAGTCTCATTAAAATGTCGTTATGTTAATATACACATTTTCATTTAATCGTCCATGATATTTTCAAATTATTAATAACACATCATAACATTATAAAGATGATAAATACACCCCACAATAGAAATAATAAACATAAATATGAGATGTGGAGCCAGACTTATTACAGTGACAGCAAGAATAACATGTTTTCTATCCACATCAAAAAAATGTGTTACATGGTGGGACGTAGAAATTATTGCTTTTGTATGTATCAAGTATTCAAGTGCACACAAACAGTTACATAGATTAACATACATAACAGATTTATGTTTGTAGAGAACCTAGATTACCAAAAATGTCAGAGACTTATTTCAGTGCCTTCACTCAGTTCATTTCTTCTTAAAATGGTGTTATGAAATGAGTGTTGTTCTTTATTTATTCTACTGTATCAATGTAGACGCAACTTGTACACAAACCAGACGTGTACATTTTGTTTGTTCACGAAACTTACGTTCACCTGGTTTGTTTACATAACTCTGCTCCCGTCCTCTCTCAAGTACTCATTCTCTCTCTCTCATTTATTCGTTTTATCTTGTTTACTCACCTATGACCCTACATTAAGACTACAAATATTTTAAGGTATGTAATGAGTGAACTGTATATGCATTTTATCGCTCTGGGATGCTTAACCCTTTCGGGGTTTCGGCCGTACTAGTACGGCTTACGCCCCAGGGTTTTTGACGTATTAGTACGCATAAATTCTAGCGCCCTCAAATCTAGCAAGAGAAAGCTGGCAGGCCTACATATGAAAGAACGGGTCTATGTGGTCAGTGTGCGCAGTATAAAAAAATCCTGCAGCACACAGGGCGTAATGAGAAAAAAAAAACTTTGACAGTGTTTTTGGTTTAAAACAGCGACTTTGCACTGTATTTTCGTAGGGTATTTATGGTTGTATTCTAGTTTTCCTGGTCTTATTTTATAGAATGGAAGACATATTACAGAAATTGAGATGATTTTGATTGGTTTCACAATGAAAAGTACCTTGAAATTGAGCTCAAAGTAGCAGAAATGTTCGATTTTTGCCAAAGTTCAAAAGTAAACAAATCATGCCACGCATCCAATACACGTCAACTGGTGAATCTAATATTCTTTCACAAGTGCGCTGGTATTATTTATGCCATTTCTACACTAATACAGTAGTCTGCATAACAGTAAATCTTTTATTTTTTGTGAGAATAAAAAATTCAAAGTGGAAAGCAAAAGAAATGTAAGAGGGGGATGGGGATGTGACTAATGAACAGAGGAAATGTTATTTTAGTACCAGGAATGTCCTTGTTTATTCTGGACCCTACTTGGAAATTGGCATCTTTTGAAATTTGTGTGAAATTGGCAAAATTGCTAAATTCTGACCACTTTATTGGATAATTGAAATCGGTAAATGGGTAGTTTCTTGTACTCATTCGATAGAAAAAAATGGAGTTCTAGCGAAATAGTTATGATTTTTGTTGACTAGTACACTAGAATTGGACGAAAATAGGGCTCAAAAATGGGCAAAAAACGCCGATGCATAAACATCTTTAAGACCGCTACCTTCGCGAGAGCATAATTCCATAAGTTTTCCATCAAATTACATACTTTTGGTGTCATTATGATCGAGAAAAGATTCTCTATCTTTTCATAAGTTTCTTTTTTTTTTTTTTTAAATTCTGGCGACCCTGAGAACAAGTCTCTGAGAGGGCCTGGCGACCCTCAAAGGGTTAAATATCATAGAATAGTATGTGTGGGTGGGTTGGCCTGGCTGGCTACCATACATACCACACTTGGTTTCATACAATAACTACTACTCATCTCACCCTAGATTAACCCTTTGACTGTCGCAGCCGTATATATACGTCTTACAAGGTACCGTGTTTGACGTATATATACTAATAAATTCTAGCGGCTTCAAATCAAGCAGGAGAAAGCTGGTAGGCCCATATGTGAGAGAATGGGTCTGTGTGGTCAGTGTGCACCATATAAAAAAAATCCTGGAGCACACAGTGCTTTTTTTAATTAAAATGCCGACTTTGTGGTCTATTTTCGTATAGTATTTATGGTTGTATTCTCGTTTTCTTGGTCTCATTTGATAGAATGGAAAACATATTATAGAAAAAGAGATGATTTTGATTGATTTTACTATAAAAAGAACCTAGAAATGGAGCTCAAAGTAGGGGAAATGTTTGATTTTTGCCAATGTTCAAAAGTAAACAAATGATGCCACTGTCCAATAAATGTCCAAATAGCCATTCTAATATGCAGTCATGAATGGGTTGATGTTATTTATACAATTATTACAGTATTGCAGTAGTCTGCATAATAATAAGTCTTCTATTTTTTTTTAATAAAAATTCAAAATAGAAAGCAAGAGTAATATCAGAGGGGCCTGGAGACATGACTGATGAGCAAAGAAAATGTTATTTTAGAGCCAGGAATGTCTGCGTTGTTCATTCTGGACTATTTTGAAATTGTCATATTTTTTAGTTTTTGTGAAATTGGCCAAATTGCAAATTTCTGACCACATTATTAGGTAGTTGAAATCGGTAAATGGGCAGTTTCTTGTACTCAATCGATAGAAAAAATGGAGTTCTAAAGAAATAGCTATGAGTTTGGGCAACTGGAACAATGGAATTAGCCGAAAATAGGGCTCAAATTGGGCGAAATCGCCGATTTGTAAACAGCGCCAAGTTCGCTAACTTCGCGAGAGCATAATTCCGTCAATTTTCCATCAAATTTCGTTTTTTTGGTGTCATTACAATCGGGAAAAGATTCTCTATCATTTCATAAGAAAAAATAATTTTTTTTTTTAATTTTGCGACACCAGGAGACACCTCAGGATTGGGGGTTGCGACAGTCAAAGGGTTAAGACTACAAATATTTTAAGGTAAGTAATAAGTGAACTGTATATGCATTTTATCGCTCTGGGATGCTTAAATGTAATAGAATATTATGTGTAGGTGGGGTGGCCTGGTATGGTAGCCCAGCTGACTACCATACATACCACGCTTGATTTCTTACAATAACTACTACTTGTCTCACCCAAGATTAAGACTACAAGTATTTTAAGGTAAGTAATGAGTGCATTATGTGTGTATTTTACTTTTTATTGTATTTTGATGCCTAGTTCTATAGCTAACTTAATATATTTTAGTGAAGAGGGTTGGAATAGTATTAGACTGTGGGGCAGAAGTTTGTGGCTATAGGAGGGTGGGTGCATGAGGAAACAGGAGTGATTGGTGGAATTATGAAGTAAAGGGTGTGATAGAGAGAGAAAAAGGTAGCTTATGAGAGGTTTTTACCAAGCAGAAGTGTTATAAGAAGAGCAGAGTATTTGGAGAGTAAAAGAAAGGTGAAGAGAGTGGTGAGAGAGTGCAAAAGGAGAGCAGATGATAGTGGGAGAGGCACTGTCAAGAAATTTTAATGAAAGCAAGAAAAATTTTTTTGGAGATAAACAAGTTAAGAAAGCCTAGGGAACGAATGGATATGACAGTTAAAAACAGAGTAGGGGAGTTAGTAGATGGGGAGCTGGAGGTATTGGGTAGATGGCGGGAATATTTTGAGGAACTTGTAAGACAGAGTAAGACTGTGGATGAACAAGGAGGTTTTAGAGTGGGTAGGGGATGTGTAGATCAAGTGCTTACACTGAAGCATGTATGTGAACAATATTTAGATAAAGGTAGAGAAGTTTTCATTGCATTTATGGATTTAGAAAAGGCATATGACAGAGTGGATAGGGGAGCAATGTGGCAGATGTTGCAAGTGTATGGAATAGGTAACAAGTTACTAAATGCTGTAAAGAGTTTTTATGAGGATATTGAGGCTCAGGTTAGGGTGTCCTGTAATGGTAGGATAACAGAACCTTCACTAAAGCTAATGTAATATAAATGACAAATGACATTAGCAATATGTTTTTACCAACATCTAAAATAAAACCAAAATAACATTTACCTTAACTACATCAGTGTGGCCACCCGCACAGGCATACATGAGAGGTGTATTGCCAGATGATGACTGGGCATTAACATCAGCATTATGGGCAATCAACAGCTTGACTATTTCTACATGACCTGCAGAGGCCCCCTCCATCAGAGGAGTACAGTCCCCCTTGATGCCCCGGTCTTCCACATTGGCACGCATTGCAAGAAGAACCTGTGAAAATACAGTGACAATGCTTGAGCAAGTGGTTTTATTAAAACTAATAAAGAAACAAAACAGGAATAAACCAAGAGAATTAAATTAAAGTACAGCGATGCCCCGAGTTTCGAACTTATTTCATACCACAACGCTGTTCAAGTGCCGATACTGGACAAATTTGTTCCCATAAGAAATAATGTATATTAGGCTAGTCCATTTCAGACCCCCAAAAATACACATACAAAAGCACTTACAATAATAAATTTACATAACTGTTTGAATTGGGAGCGGTTCGAAACTCGGGGTACAACTGTAAATGTAACAGACAGAATAACCAGGGAGAACCCAATCTACAAGAGAACCCTGCTTTACATGACTCAATAAATGCAAATTCAGCAACATGAAATTAAAAGAAAAATAGCAACCATAAACTGATTCACACTGGAAAGCCCCAGCCATTGTTTGTACCATAAATTAATCCTCTGGCTGTTGCAAGCTCCTTTCTGAAACTGTCATTCTATGTCGCAAAAGTTTTGGGAAAAAAATTTTTTTCTTATGAAATGATAGAGAATCTTTTCCCAATGGTAATGACACCAAAAGTACGAAATTTCGTCGAAAACTCACGGAATTACACTCCCGCGAAGTTAGCGGGCCTAGAGACACATACGCATCGACAATTCCACCGAATCTGAGCCCTGTTTTTGGCCAATTCTGTTGTTCCAGTTGATCAAACTCATAGCTATTTCTTTAGAACTCCATTTTTTATATCAGGTGAGTACAAGAAACCGCTCATTTACCGATTTGAACTACCCAATAAAGTGGTCAGAAATTGGCAATTTGGCCAATTTCATGCAAATTAAAAATGATGTCAATTTCAAAATAAGGTCCAGAATAAACAATGTAGACATTCTTGGCACTAAAATAACATATCCACTGTTCATTAGTCACATCTCTAGGCCCCTCTTATATTAATATTGCTTTCTATTTTGATTTTTTATTCATACAAAAAAACTAGAAGATTTACTGTTATACAGACTACTGCATTATTGTAAAAATGGTATAAATAATATCAGTGCACTAGTGAAAGAATACAGTGGACCCCCGGTTCGCGATGCTATCGGTATCCGATAAATCCAGTAACCGATGCATTATATTGCCAAAAATTTGCCTCGGTTCCCGTTACAAAACCCAGTATGGAATGCGATTCATACGAGACTTGTCCACGTGTGGCCTGAACTTCCCCGTGTGTACCAATGTTTACAAGCCAGCCAGTGTGCGCGCATCTAAGGATACATTTGGTACATTCCATATTATCCATATTATCACTGGTTTTGGTGCTTGTTTCTGCAAAATAAGTCACCATGGGCCCCAAGAAAGCTTCTAGTGCCAACCCTTCGAGACCATGAAATGAAAAGAGAGATAATTGCAAAGTACGAAAGTGGAGTGTGTGTGTTGGAGCTGGTCAGGTTGTATAGTAAACCCCAATCAACCATCTACTATAGTGAGCAGGAAAACGACAATCAAGGAAGCTGTTCTCGCAAAAGGATCAACTGTGATTACGAAACAGCGACCACAAGTGTTAGAAAATGTTGAGAAACTGTTATTGGTGTGGATAAATAAAAAACAGATAGCAGGAGATAGCATCTCTCAAGCGATCATTTGTGAAAAGGCTAGGCAGTTGCATGACGATTTGGTAAAAGAAATTGCCTGCAACTAGTGGTGATGTGAGTGAATATAAGGGCAGCAAAGGTTGGTTTGAAAGATTTAAGAATCGTAGTGGCATACATAGTGTGATTAGGCATGGAGAGGCTGCCAGTTCAGACCACAAAGCGGCTGAAAAATATGTGCATGAATTCAAGGAGTACATAGGGGTGAAGATTTGAAACCTGAACAAGTGTTTAATTTGACAAAACAGGCCTGTTTTGGAAGAAATTGCCAAGCAGGACCTACATTACTCAGGAGGAAAAGCTACCTCAAGTCCTAATGGAGGGGGATTCCCCTTCTAAACAATAGGTTCAACACTCCCCTCCTCCCATCCCATCAATCCTCACCAGATCTTCATTAAAGGTAAGTGTCAATTATTCTATTGTTATTATTTTGTTATTGTAATTATTCTATTGCATTAAACTTAACAGTTTTTTTTCCATACTTTTGGATGTCTTGCACGGATTAATTTGATTTCCATTATTTCTTATGGGGAAAATTGATTTGCTTTCCGATAATTTTGGTTTACGATGAGCTCTCAGGAACGGATTAATATCGCGAACCGGGGGTCCACTGTATTAGACTCCCCAGTTGACGTGTATTGGACTTGTGGTGTAATCTGCTTACTCCTGAACATTGGTAAAAATCAAACATTTCCACTACTTTGAGCTCAATTTCAAGGTAGTTTTCATCGTGAAAGTAATGAAAATCATCTCTATTTCTGTAATATGTTTTCCATTTTATCACTTGAGACCATGAAAACGACAATACAGTGGACCCCCGGTTCGCGATACTAATCCGTTCCTGAGAGCTCATCGTAAACCAAAAATATCGGAAGGCGAATCAATTTTCCCCATAAGAAATAATGGAAATCAAATTAATCCGTGCAAGACACCCAAAGTATGAAAAAAAAACTTTTACCACATGAAATATTAAGTTTAATGCAATAGAATAGTAATTACAAAAATAACAATAAATAATGAAAGAATAATTGACACTTACCTTTAATGAAGATCTGGTGATGATTGATTGGATGGGAGGAGGGGAGTGTGTGACTCACGAAATCGTAATGGCACGATTGCAAACAAACCATACCCCGGCCGGGATTGAACCCGCGGTCAGAGTCTCAAAACTCCAGCCCGTCGCATGGATGTGTGGATGGTGTTAGCATTTAGAAGGGGAATCCCCCTCCATTTGGACTTGAGGTAGCAAGTCCTTTTCCAGGGTTACTTCCCTTCTTCTTTTAATGCCACTAGGACCAGGTTTCAATCCTTCAGCCTCTATGTACTCCTTGAATTCATGCACATATTTTTCAGCCGCTTTGTGGTCTGAACTGGCAGCCTCACCATGCCTAATCACACTATGTATACCACTACGATTCTTAAATCTTTCAAACCAAACCTTTGCTGGCCTTAAATTCACTCACATCACCACTAGTTGCAGGCAATTTTTTTACCAAATCGTCATGCAACTGCCTAGCCTTTTCACAAATGATTGCTTGAGAGATGCTATCTCCTGCCATCTGCTTTTCATTTATCCACACCAATAACAGTCTCTCAACATTTTCTAACACTTGCGGTCGCTGTTTCGTAATCACAGTTGCACCTTTTGCAAGAACAGCTTCCTTGATTGCCGTTTTCTTGCTCACTATAGTAGAGATGGTTGATTGGGGGTTTACTATATAACCTGGCCAGCTCCGACACACGCACTCCACTTTCGTACTTTGCAATTATCTCTTTCTTCATTTCAACAGTCATTAGCACCCTTGGTCTCGAAGGGTTGGCACTGGGAGCTTTCTTGGGGCCCATGGTGACTTATTTTGCAAAAACAGGCACCAAAAACAATGATAATATGGATAATATGGAATGTACCGAATGTATCCTCAGATGCGCGCACACTGGCTGGCTTGTAAACACTGGCACACACGGGGCAGTTCAGGCCACACATGGACACGTCTTGTACGAACCACATCGCATACCGGGTTTTGTATTGGGAAGCGAGGCAAATTTTCTGCGATATAATGCATCGGTTACCAGATTTATCGGATACCAACAGCATCGCGAACCTGGGGTCCACTGTACAACCATAAATACTAAACGAAAATACACCTCAAAGTCGGCATTTTAATCCAAAAAAAAAAAAGTCAGTTTTTTTTTCTCATTATGCACTGCATGCTGCAGGATTTTTTTTATGTGGTGCACAGTGACCACACAGACCCACTGTCTCACATGTGGGCCTACCAGCATTCTCCTGCTTGATTTGAAGCTGCTAGAATTTACGTGTATAAATACGTCAGAAGCAGTGGCGTTTAAGACATATATATATGATGTAAACAGTCAAAGGGTTAATAAGTACGTAATGATAATAACACTACTACTACTAATACTAACAATAATAATAAGTTGCAAAGGTTGGTAGATGAATTTGGGAGGGTATGTCAAAGGAAATTAAATAAAACAAAGCTGAAGGGAGTAGGAGTGTTTCAGTTGGGAGAAATAAACGGGATTAGGTCAGGAGTTTCAAACAGAGTTAGAGCTAAAGGAGTAGCAATAATGTTGAAGGATACGCTATGGCAGGAAAACAGGGAATATAAATGTATAAATTCAAGGATTATGTGGTGTAAAGTAAGGGTTGGTTGTGAAAAGTGGGTTGTAGTAAGTGTTTATGCACCTGGAGAAGAGAGAAGTGTAGAGGAGAGAGAGAGATTTTGGGAAATGTCGAGTGCACGGGGAGTTTTGAACCAAGTGAGAGACTACTTGTGGTTGGGAATCTCAATGCTGAAGTGCGTAAAAATGCTGTGGAGGGAGTAGTAGGTAAATTTGGAGTGCCAAGGGTAAATGAAAATGGGGAGCCTTTAACTGACCTATGTGTAGAAAGAGGTTTGGTAATAAGTAACACATTTTATGAAGAGGATAAATAAGAATACAAGGTATGATATAGCACATAATGAAAGTAGCTTGTTAGATTAACCCCTTGACTGTCGCAACCCCAATCCTGAGGTGTCTCCTTGTGTTGTAAATTTAAAAAAAAAAAAAATTCTAATGAAATGATAGAGAATCTTTTCCCGATTGTAATGACACCAAAAAAAAAAAAACGAAATTTCATGGAAAACTGACGGAATTACACTCTCACAAAGTTAGCGACCTCGGCGATATTTACAAATGGGCTATTTCGCCCACTTTCAGCCCTATTTTTGGCTAATTCCATTGTTCCAGTCAACCAAACTCATAGCTATTTCTCTAAAACTCTGCTTTTTCTATCGATTGAGTAAAAGAAACTGCCCATTTACCGATTTCAACTACCCAATAACA